GTTGGACGGGGCTCTGAGCAGCCTGATTCAGTTGATGGTGTCCCTGCTCATGGCAGTGGGTTGGACTAGATGGCCTGCAAAAGTCCATTCCAACCCAAACTATTCTATGATTCTGTGATCTCTTTGCTATTAGTAACACACTTTGTAAGTGAATGCTGAAGCAGAGCCAGAGTGCAAGGTTGTGTATGTGCAGTTGGTGTGTAGAAGCTTGCATTTGGGATGCTTATGAGTTGGAAAGGGGTGGAGGGGGAAGGGGCTGGAGGAAGAAGGGGCTATGATATTGGGGTGCTAGTTTGGAAAGTTAAGGAGCTGCTTCTGCTGCCCTGTGGGTGACAGTGGCAGGGAACAAGCTGCTTGTGGGAGTCCCTGCTTTAGTAAGTGAAAGTATTTTTCTGGAGGAAAGGAAGGTGTTGCCCATGTTTTACTGAGTTTATATATGGGCAGGGGTTGATTGGTGCATGAATACTCAAAGGCTGATGGGTGAAAAACATAGATGGTTCCCTCTTCTGAAACTGGAGTCTCCAAAGGCTTGAAACCTCAGCTGCAGTCAAACATGGGTGTGCTTTGCAGGCCTGTTCGGTTGCTCTACCTCCATCTGTCCTGAATCGGTAGGTCCATGTGTTGTATGGCAGGATGGAGCAGGATTACCTACCTGGAAGTTACCTGAAAGGAAAAAGACGTCCTAATTGCTGTTAGCAGTGAGCCTGTATTTGGAGTTGGAGGGGCAAGTCTGGCTGGGACTTGTTGGGCTGTCACTTCCTCCGACCTAGCTGTGGAAGCTGAGCAAAAGGAGAAGAGCTGGCAAGGCAGGCTTGCTCTGAGAGCTTTAAATTACTCAAGCATTTGCAAAGCTGTTAGTTCAGTCTGTGTTATGAGTTTTGACATTGCAGTTGTGAATTTTTCTCTCACTTCTGTCAGTATCATAAGCTCTGTCCCTTTAAAGTGACTTTAGAACCAGTCAGATGCAAAGTTATTATTTTCTATTTCTTTGTTAGGCAACAAATTCTGCATATTCTGTTTACATTTATTACGGAAACTTGAAGTTTTTCATCTCCTTCTCCACACGCCCCCAAATCCTGAGCTTGTTCTTTCCTGCAAGAGTGGTATGCAAGCGTGTGAAAGCTACCATGCAGGCACTGCCAGTGGGAGTGGGAAATGGGAAGGAACGCCACCATTGGTGTTGCTTCCTACTACCTGAAAGGAAAATGGGGTGGGGGTCCGTGCAGCAGGGGGCTGTCTTGAGGTAGCAGGTTGAGGATATCTAGTTTCCTGTAAGAAGGTCGGGGGAGAATACGTAAAATGGCCTCCTTGTACCCTGCAATTGGTACTGCCTCAGCAAACTTTGTGTCTGCCTGCAGCTAGTGGGTTGAATTGTAATTTTGCTCAGCAACTAGGCAAGGGAGCAATCCTGGGAGCATGCCAGGAGGGAAGGCACGCTAGCACCTGACAAAAATGGTGACTGTTATGTTTGTTGTCATCAACCACAAGGCCCTGGCGGGAACCAAGAAATAGTCTTATTTGTGTTGGAAGTGTCTTGTGCTTTGTCTTCAGCCTGTTGTGTAGGTCCCTCACCTTGGGATGCAGGACACAGCTGTTTAAAGGTACCACTCCTACCAGCTCAGTAGTAGGTGATGAGAGTGACAGCTTCCTCTGCCTAGGAGAGTCTTGTGGAGGGCTTGCAGCGTGAACTGAGGAAAGCCAATGTATCTGGAGAAGAGCTTTTGGAAATTACCTGTTTTCTGCATGCCAAGCAGCTGGAGGAATGCAATAGTCTATGTGTAAACAGTGCCAAGTATGAATTTTGATGATCCAGTGTTATTGGTGCACCCATTTAGAAAAAAGGTGGGGGAGAGCAACCATAAGTATCTGAATCCTGCTTCAAGTAATTGTCTTTTGTTTTTTCTGATGTGATGTGTTTTTGTAAATCCTCTGGATCACAGAAAGGTTTATCCAAACTGCTCAATAGAGAATGACTGTCAAAAAGCTCAGCTAAAGAAGATCAATGGCAGCAAGCTACAGCTTTGTGATTCTTTTGCCATAGATCTGCCCTGCTGAGAAAAGAGATGGCTGGATTTGTACCCTGGCCCATGTGAGTAGACTAGGCGCCATATGTCTAGGAAGTAAGTTGAATCAGGGAACTGATCTAGATAGACATTCTCAGCTTGACGTTAGCACAGGCTGTTGACAGCTTGGGTACTGCCTAGCTCTAACCAGGTAGTTGGGCTTTTTTACTAGGTTTGTTTCACAAAGTGTGTAGCTGAGCTCTGGAACAAACTGTGATAGAACATGGGGGTTCAGACAGGCCTCAGTGTAATGGGGTTGAAAGAGGAGTTAGGCAGCCATGTGTAGTGTAAGTCTTTTGTCAGCTCTGCAAATGCTGATGCCTTGGAAGCTTTGGCCCAAGAAGCCCTTAAAGCCCAGTGTGCTGGTGTTTACAGAATCACAGGATGGTAGGGGTTGGAAGGGACCTCTGAAGATCATCTGTTCCGACCCCCTGTCCAAAGCAGGGTCACCTAAGGCAGGTTGCACAGGCATGCATCCAGTCGGGTTTTGAAGGTCTCCAGAGAAGGAGACTCCACAACCTCTCTGGGCAGCCTGTTCCACCCTCACAGTAAAGAAGTTTTTCCTCATGTTGAAGTGGAACTTCCTGTGCTGCAGTTTGTGCCCATTGCCCCTCGTCCTGTCACTGGGCACTACTGAAAAGAGGCTGGCTCCATCCTCCTGACAGCCACTCTTCAGATAATTATAAACATTTATAGGGTCTCCTCTCAGCTTTCTCTTCTCCAGACTAAACAGTCGAGGTCTCTCAGCCTTTCCTCATACGAGAGATGTTCCAGTCCCTTAGTCATCTTCGTAGCCCTCTATTGGACTCTCTCCAAAAGTTCCCTGCCTCTCTTGAACTGGGGAGCCCAGAACTGGACACAGTACTCCAGATGAGACCTCACCAGCACAGAGTAGATGGGGAGGATAACCTCTCTTGACCTGCTGGTCACACTCTTCTTAATGCACCCCAGGATACCATTGGCCCTCTTGGCCACCAGGGCACATTGTCCCATGGATAACTTACTGTCTACCAGGACTCCAAGGTCCTTCTCCATGGAGCTGCTTTCCAGCAGGTCAACCCCTAACCTGTACTAGTGCATGGGGTTGTTCCTCCCCAGATGCAGAACTCAACTGCAGTTCTATTGCAGCTTGCCTCTGGAACAGCCCCGTGCCCTGCCCTGTGTCCCTGTGTTGTGATGGAGCTGGCACAGGGGCAGGGAATTTGACTGTCCTTGAGGGCATTAACTTTTGGTCTCTGTGCAGTTCTGGTTGGCTTTGATAGCATGGGACTGATCTGTGTGGGGGCTGATTTCCTGCTCGGCACAGGGCACGTGTTGGGAAGGGGCAGCTGCTGTTCATACATGAAACAGATGTTGAGGTGTGAGGGACTTGGCAGTGTGTCAGCATAGCTTGCACTGCCCTGGAAAGTCCTGGTGACTTGTCCTATGCATCCATGTTGGTTTGGTAGCACTTCCCTGTTACATTTTTTGTCTCCTAGATGATACTAGTAAAAATAAAACAGAAGGTCATTTTCTGACTGTAATCAGGGCCTGATGATGGTGATGTTCAGAGTACTGGAGTTCTCATAAAGCTCAAGAGATGAAAACCTAATGCACACTACATTTTTGTAAGGTTATGCTAAAAACTCTGTACCATATCATATGACTGTATTTAAAAAAAAAAAAAATACTCATCAAATATCTAGGAGAATACAGGCTCCAGTAAGCCTAACATCTCTCTAGCAAAGTGGTAGGAGCAATGCAAAAGAACAGAAGTAAAGGACACTTGGAAAAACACAGTGTATTGAGGTTGAATTAATATGTTTTTTTCTAAAAGCAAACCTTAGACGTACTGCTTTTCTTTGAAGGTGGCAGCAGCTGTGTGGGCAAGACAGATCTGATTTCTACAGGTTGCTTAGATTTCTGAAAGACATACTGTACTGAGAAATGTGAGGTAACATAAGTGGGGAAGATCTGTGCTGGCTTTCTATACACAGCTTGGCTTCTTGTCAGGTACAGTACAATATGTATAACGACTCTCATTTGCTCTGTTCTTGGTGAGGAGAAGATGACAGATGACTGCACTGAAATTTGTAAGCACCTGTAGTTTTTACATATAGGAAGTGGACTAAGGAAAGGTCAGTTGCTTGGCTGCCTGAACTGGGAGCAGGTATGTGTGCTGTGAAAGAATGTTCTTGTGAGGCTGTGCAAGGCAAAGTGTCTATTTGTTTTTTTATTTAAAAGGTGTCCTGGAAAGAAATTTTAGTCTCCACTCTTTCTGTCCCTGTCTCCTTTTTCCCCTGCTGCCACATGCAGTGATGGGCAGATTCATTCCTCTATAAGTTATCTCTGACTTCTCTGGAGTGTGCCCTCACCAGCAAGTGGGATAGTATTCTGGGGTACAGTCTGTTCCTCCATGTCAAAGAACCATTTATGTTGGAAGGGACCTCTTGAGATCATCTACTCCTGTCCCTGTTTGAGCAGGGGGTTGCTAGAGCATGTTGCCCAGGACCATGCCCAGCTGCATTTTGAATAGCTCCAAGGATGGAGTCTCTACCACTTCTGTGGGCAACCTGTGCCAGTGTTTGACCACTCTCAATCTGGTGCAAGAAATAAGCAAAAGAACTGTTAAGGCTGGAGGTGAAGGATGTAGGGGAGAAGACCTGATTTCTCTGATAATAGTACATGGGTCCCCATGCAAGGGACAGCATCCTTTGCTCTTCCAGCTCACCTGGCCATATAGGCAAGAGTTTCCTACATCATGAGTAACATCAAAAGAGTCAAGGATTATGGAGAGGACCTAACAGAATATGGTGACTGTGACCCACAGACTGGAGTGATCTGTTGTGGTTGTTACATGTGAAAGCCTGAGTCGTTTTCTGGGAGAGTAGTGTTTGCACTTGTTCAATCTTATCTAGTGAGTTATGAATTGGAGGGTTTTTTTTTACTGGCACAGGAGCACTTTTAACAAATGGAGAATGATAGAATAGGTGGTAGGAGAGTTTGATCCTAGTGCACACACATGTGCAGTTTTGATGTGGGTCTCTTTTGTGGCATTACCGTCATTAATCTCATCAAGTATGAGGGCTACCTGATCTGGTATCTGTGTTTCCAAAAGGAAAAATTAACTCCTTTTGGTGTGCTGAGACGTGAGGATTGCCAGCAGAGGTGGCATGTACAGCTCTGTGCAAAGAGGGTAAATCTGAGAGGGAAGACTGAGCTTTTCTTGGTGTCTGCATTGGCCATCCCTCAGAGGTCTTCCAGTCACCCCCTGAGTTCTTTTGAATCCCTTTTCCAAACTTTTTGTCAGCTTGCTTTTTCTTTCCTTCCCTTCCAGGTGGATGAAGAAGCCTCGCTGTGGAGTTGCGGATCATCCCCACCTACGCCATAGCCGGAGGAAAAAGCGGTATGCACTAACTGGACAAAAGTGGAGGCAGAAGCATATAACCTACAGGTATAGCCCCCTCCCTGCCCCTTTTTGTTTGGGGGAAAATGCCGTATGCAAATTTTCGAAGTACTTTTGAAAACTGGATTTTTCCTTGTAATGCCTAGCTGAGGCTTTCATTCTCAGAACATGGTGCAGGGGAATACTTTCAGAGCACTGGAGTAACTGAAGAGTCTGATCAATAAAGATGCCTAAATCCCAGCCAGCAGCTGTGTAATTTTGGCAGGAAAATCCTAGTAAGATCCTTTCTGCTCCCTTAGAAATCTAAGGCTCTAGCCCTTAGATCATATGTCGTCTTTAACAAGCCATTAAAGCAGAAGGAACATCATTGTCTAAAGGCATGATACTTTCTCCCTCTACTAATTTGCAACATTTTACTGAATATTTAATTTTTGCAGAGGTTTTATTTTTGCTTATGTAGCAGAACTTTTGGTTTTGTCCAGGCCTGCTGAGGCAGTATGCTGAAGTGGGCTACAGGTGTCAAATGAGTGTTACGCAGTGACAATTGATTCCCAGAGATGTGTTTTGTTTCAGTCATTAGGCCCTTAGCTTTTGAAGGGCAATTGCCAAATGATGCCAATGGAAGTTTCTCATAATAAGAATGTCACTTCAAAATAAAACTAAACCCCTCTCTACATGAAAGTATAGTCTTTTATTTTTTTGGAGGGGGAAAGGAGATTGCAGAGGAGTAAAAATTATGGATATAGACATTAAGGAGAAGAGATGGATGAACAAGGCTAAGACAGAAAGAAAGTCTGTGGTGAAGAGGTAGAAGTATGAGTGATCAGCGTGGGGAAGGTGCCAGAATGTGTAGGAAGAGAGATGATGGTGTGAAGGGAGAGAGAATCAGGGACTAGGGCACACTGTTGCTTCTGCCAAGAGCTCTGAGAAAGGAAGAGGAAGATTCTTCAAGTAACAATGAAGGACTGCAGAGACTGGGAGGAGGGACTAGTTCAAAGTTTCCATCAATAATTATTCCTTTTACTCATATTGTAAAGGGACATCTTCTGTATGTGAAGATCTGAGAGTCAGATCCTGCTTCTAACCTTTTCTGGACCTTAGGGTATATAATTGTATAAATAAAACATATCTTAAGTGTATGCATAACCACAGGAAGCAGGTTGGCAAATGGCTTCACTTCTCCCATTGTCAAATTAGTAGTTGCTTAACTTTCCAGTTTCAGTGCTTGTAGTGTGCCATTCCAGTGACAGATAGCTTGTTTTACCACTGAATGTATTACAGCTTCTTTCATCTGTCAATCATTATATTAAATTGAGCCAGTTTCATTAAAGACTGAAAGTCGTTTCCATGACATAGATATTTCATATTCCCCAATGTTGGGATCACCCTGCACGGCTCGACCTTAAGGAGAAGGAGCTGTGGCATTGAGAAGCTGGTAAACAGCTGGATATCTGCACGGCTCGGCCTTGAGGAGAAGGAGCTGTGGAAAACAACTAAGAAGAAGCAAAGGAGCACAGGAACACCTGCAAGCAGCAATCCTGACTGTGTGAGAGGCGCGTGGACAGCGCGTGATATTTTGTATACAGCCAATTGCAATAGTGTGTGTAACAGGTTGTAACCAATCATGAGTGTGTGCGCAGTGACTAAGCGAAAATTATGATATATATTGGAGTCAGACAAGACAATAAACGGCTTCGGAATATAACTCTATGTCATAGAGTTGTGAAGTCCATCCTTCTTCCGCACCCCAAGGCAAGCTTAATAGGTCTAGGGTCTATTATATGCACACATAAAAAAAACACCCTGTGAACAGCACTTTTTAAGCTAAAGTTTACAATTATGGGAAATATACGTGCAGTTAAACTTCTTGCCTCCCCCTGCCGCCATAAATTCTGTATCATCAGCTGTCATGGACTGGGTTGCACAAAACTGGCAGGTTCATCACTCCTGTGAGCTCTTAAGTATTTTGAGTAGTCCTGAGAATGAAGCTGCTCGTATAAGTAAGGTTGTATAGTTTACTGAAATTTTTGTTTCTCAAAAAGAATTTTAGTAATCAGTTTTTTTTATACACTGGATTCCATTTTAGCATGATAATTTCAAACAAAATCTGAAGCAATTTACATTTTTAAACTAAGTTACTTAGCTGTCTACACCAGGATTGGAAAGGTTGTCAGGTTATTAGGAGGCGATACAAGATCAACCAAAGTATTGGGAAGACTGTTATTAATAAATGTAGACTTCAGATCAGGGCTGTAGTTTTGTTGGTAACTTTATTTGTAACAACAAAACTTTGCATGCATAAAGTAGTGTCTGCAAAAAAATAAAGATCCTTTGGAAATGGAAACTGTGTAGATGCAGCTATGTTTTGGAATTATAATAAGAAGTCTTCAATGTACTCTGCAGATTTAAACAACCCTTCTTTCTCATTCACACAGTGTACACAACTATACCCCCAAGGTTGGAGAGATTGATACGAGGAGAGCCATTCGTCAGGCATTTGATGTTTGGCAGAGAGTGACACCACTTACCTTTGAAGAGGTCCCTTACCATGAAATTAAAAATGACAGAAAGGAGGCAGATATTATGATATTTTTTGCTTCTGGTTTCCATGGAGACAGTTCTCCATTTGATGGAGAAGGTGGATTCCTAGCTCACGCTTACTTTCCTGGACCAGGAATAGGAGGAGATACTCACTTCGATTCGGATGAGCCATGGACCCTGGGAAATTCTAATCATGACGGTAAGAGCGCAGGTCATTTTTCAAAACAAGAATAAATTGAATGTAGACATTCAAAGCTGAAGGCTTTCAGCTACAAAGTATTTGATTAGTCGAGCTTTCACCTCCTGTACAATGGTTCAAATATTTTAGAAAACATATATGTTATCTTAAATGGGTAAATAATTTTATTAGTAAGTTTGTGATTGCATGCCTCTGTGCACATGTGTGAATGTTGAGGAGTGAATAGAAGTGTGTGTCTGCTGGCTTTTTACATCTCAAGATTCAGAAAAAAGTTGCTACAGAAACCACGACTCTGGGAGGGAAAAGGTGAACAAGAGAGTGTTGAAATGTAAATTCTGTATCTCATGGAATACGTAACAAGGGAAATTAGAGTTAGTTGTAATGGTGAATAAAAAGTTGAGAGAGTGAAGACTTTTTTGAATGTCAAGTTGTTTTGATGCGTATTTGTTTTCCCACAGTCTGAGTATAGTCATAATTCCTCCCATCAGAAGCTGGGGCTGGCTGATTTGTTGGGGAATACTGATGGTTAGCATAACTGTTTTTGTGTTCTTAAGTAATGAAGACTTTCTAGCTTTATCTTACTCTCTAATGGCAATGAGCACTTTCTGATCTATATTCAAACCTTTGATTGAGGATAGTGACGACTTGTAAAAAGTTTAAGTTGGAAAACCAGAATGTTACACTGGCCTCATAAAGTACCACTTCACTTTCCACAGTCGTAGTCATTTGGGAAGGACAACCTGTCTTTAAACCTTTAGGGATTCAAAATCATGTTTTGAAACATTTTATAAGGATAAGAAGTTTACTTAGACTGTAAATATGTCTTGATTTTTAAACTGTAGTAGCATTGTTGTGGCCATTATGTCATGTGCAGAGGTAATGTCTTTCATTAGACCAAACAGTGTAATTTGAAAAGGAGAAAAGCTTTCAGGCATGCAAGCAACCTTCAGGCCTGACCTAAAAGTGACAGCTTTCTTTCAGGATGGAATGCAAATTGAGAAAATCCCTTAGGGTTTTGAGTCAGTATCTATCAGATCATCTTTGAAAGGAAACGGAGCTGGCAAGTTCAATGTGGGAATGCTAATTTGTAGGAAAGCAGAAATTATATGATACTTGTCTTCTCATGGAAAGAGAAGTAATGTTTCCTGGCATGTTTAAATGACTACATTGGGTTTAGGCAGAGAAAGAGAGAGGTTATAGCCTGTGGGATGTGGAGCGGTGATAGTGTGAAGAGTGTGGGAGGTTATGGTGTGGCAGAGAAGCAATCTTGCTATCTTGAAATGTTATGAATTTATATTCCTAGGTTTGTGGCTGGAGGGCAGTTTATAGGTTTCCCTTGAGGATCTGGATTGACAGCCAGAGACTGAGTGAGTGCCTTGAGAGCTGCTTTTGCAGCAGTTAGATGTGTTTGTGCTTTATCAGCAGTCTGTGTGAGTTCAGTCTGGTCTTAGTAGTTACTTGATCTCAACTATGGGGTGTGAGGGTGGCCTGTGTGCTGGATATCACTTGCCAGGTAAGCCCACGTATGAGACCTTGGAGTGCTGGTGTCTGGGGTAGAAGGTCCTTCCACAAAGGCAGAAGGGAAAGTTTTGACAAGTTGTACTTGCTTTTTTTCTTTTCTCTTTTTCTGCACAAAAAGCTTCCTTCTCATGATAAGCTTCGCAAAGTTGTAAAGCAGCTTAAAGACTGGCAGGGATGGCTCTGGGGAAAATTTTCTGCTGGGTAGGATGTTCTAACACAGATGATAATTTTTTTGAGGGTTTTTTGGTATAGTTTTTAGGATGGTGTTTGAGAGCAATGTATACAATGAGTAGAAGGTCTCTTTTTTTGTTTTGCTTATAAAACCTATTTCTTATGCAGTATCCATGTGGCTTTTTCAAAAACATGAGGTATTTCTCTGGTGTGCTGAGTGACTGTCATGAGTAGTGTTCTCAAAGTGCATGTAATTGGTATTTGAGGGTCTGGTGTGCATTCCAAATGTGAAAATTTATAGAAGAGTGGAGATTTCCATTCCGGAGGATAGATGTCATTTGTGTGTTTGTTTTCAAATAACCATGCTGCATAGACTAGGCAGCATGGCTATTTGAAAACTCTTTTTAAAAAGTCACCAGAGAGGATGTCGATAATGGTGGGGTCATATTTGTCCCCTCCACCTGGGGGAAGTGCTGATGATAGAAAGGGAATTTCATGAGGTGAGGATGACAGGGATAATCTTGTAGTCAGAACTTTATAGATGTGCATGTTAAATGTGAGGAGTTTGTCGTTGCCTGTGTTCTTAGCCTTGGTATGCAAATACGAAAATGTCCTGTCTCCTCACTGGATGATCCAGGCCTTTTCAGGAGTGTTTTTCCTTCCGTTGCACTTTCTTGTCATTGGAGCTCTCACTAGCTCCAGAGTCTCACCTCTGATGTGTTTTACTTGAAGTGCTGTTAGCACGTCTTAGAGTTTCTTCTTGGTCAGAGATTTCCTGCACTGTGATCAGTTTACTGCCTTTTTTCATTGGAAATAAGGTGTTAGCAGAGGCAATGTTGTCTTTTGAACAGGAAGTATTTCTTCAAACATGGTCTTGCTTGTCCTCATGTTATGTATTTTGGGGAAATGGGGTTGTTCAGTCTGGAACCGAAGTCATCTGTCAGTGAAAGAATAAAAATTCCCTACCAGTAGATGAGTAGCAAAGCTCTCATTAATTCAGATGCAAAAAAGGAACTGTTTTGGCCATTCAGCATCCACTCAATGATTATAGAAATCTTAAAATAGCCACAAAGTAACAATAGTATCTTTACATCAAGCCACAAAATAATCACGGTGTAAAATGTTCCATTCCTGACAAGAATGTGTATTAGTTGAAGGGAAAATTTGAACAACCTGCCTCAAAGCTCTCTTAGCCTTGCAGCAATAGTAAAGGTAAATAGCAAAGGTCAGCAGAGCAGGATGCTGAAACTGGCACTGTAGGTCCTCAGAATATTTGGCTGATCTATTTAGTCCATATAGTTTTGTTAGAAACCAGTATGCTCTGAAGCTTTGCTTTTATTGGTCTACATTTGTCTTACTGTGTCATGGCACCTAAAGAGTTTCAGTAAGTCCATGTTTGGATGCAGCTGTCACCCCATAGAAGAACTGTTCTGGAGTCTTCACCAGCAGCGCAAATTATGTGGATAAAAGTGAAACATTTCATGTGAATTCTCATCCAGTCAGAAAAAATGAAGAATGATTTGAACAGATCTTTCTATGAAGACAGACATGTCTGATCTGTACATGGAGAATGGGATATATCCTGTTGATGAAAACTTCTCTCTTCTAAAGATACCTTGTGGTAATCTGCTAGGGTTCATTAGCAATTTTATCACACCAGCTAGTGGATAGTTAGTTGGGATTTATACTTGTTATCATTTTGCATGATCATTATTATACTGATTTTCCCCCTTGTGGACAGCATGACCATTACCATGACCCTTAAAATTATTAGTATAATCATAATAGCTGTGATGCTGTTGATTGCCTTTCTGAGGCCATGGTAATAGGGCACATGCACCAACACTTCTATTATCTTCTGCTGTGAAGAATGATCCTGCATGGGCTTTTGAAGTGAATGCGAAGTTTCCTTCTCCTTGGATATTAGTTACAGTTCCACTCATGCATACAGTTCCTTTAGCCGAGTAATACTGTACTTCCAATTCATGATCGCTGATATATCATCATAATTGTACTTTATTCTGTGACCTTCCTGTAAGCAAGCTGTGGAAGATTAGTTTAGATAATATTATGATGAGGGTATGCAAAACCAGGTAGGAAGTTGTACTCCTGGATCAGGCCTTATTAACTGGAACCATGGGATACAGAATTCATTTGTTAAGTTTTCATATGAGAATGTGAATGGGAGCAGCTAGAAGCATGAAGCACAATATTGGAATTCGGAAGGATCAAGGCAAATCAGAGAAGTGATGTGGCAATCAGGATGCAACTGAAAAAGAGGAGGAGTGTGGTTTTACATTTAGAGATAAATCATCTACATAGCCACACAGTGAGGAGCAACTGGCATGGTCATGACTGCAGGGACTTACCTCATGTTTTTCCTGGAACGTGCTCCTCAGTAGAAGCGAAAGAAGCTCTTGGCCTTTAGCTTATCCCAGACTTGTAGCAGCAAGGGCTCCACCTTATAAGACTTTGATATATGGGCAAGTGAAGCTGTTTTTGGAGTCATTGTCTTTTAATGGTACATTGTGTGTAGCTGCTCGCAGGCCAAGTGGCCCCTCTTGGCTGCTCAGATGCAGCGTTTGGTCCCTGAGTTACATGTCAATGCAGGTAGTCTCATTATCCCAATTGCATTAGCGTGCATTACCAGAGGGGACATGAAAGGTGACTTTGCTCTACTTTCTCCAAGTCTTGGGCTTTTTTTACTTGAAATGCGCTGTAGAAACAGCCAAGCAAACTTTAAACTGCCCATCTCAAGACTCACAGCCACTGACATACGTTGCTCACAGTGGGCAGCAAAGCCTGTGCCTGGAAGAGGATAAACAGACTTGGCTGTGCTGGGATCTCTCCCTTGGCTGCCTCAGTATCTTACCTAATTTGGCTCAAGCATAGAGGTGCTGCATGAAATCCATTATTAACTGGCCAAATCAAGTATTTCCTAGCCTTTATATGAAAATAATAATTATATATGTCTGTATCTCCAACAACAGGTTGAAAAGGAATTCTGAGTAAGTTCTGTCAGTTTAAACATCCACATTACACGTGACTGCTCTTACCTTCTGACAACTCAAACATTTGTTTAATCCAGGTTAATTACAGGAAACACATTTTCACCTCCAGTTTAACATTGCAAATAATATCAATAATAATCCCAGGCAAATCTCTTCATGGTCTTTTAAAAAAAGTAAAAGGCCACTGCTGTTACACATGTTGTCAACACCATCCTACTAAATATGCGGTGTCTGCCAACCCACTGCAGATATTAGCTTTATAGCTATAAAGTGTATAATATGTGTATATAATAGCTA